TACAGTATGGGAGAATGTATTTGTAAATGACATATCCAACAAGGGGTTAACATCCAAAATATATAAAGAACTCACATGCCTCAACAACAAAAAGCAAATAACCCTATTAAAAAATGGGCAGAGGATATCAGCAGACACTTCTCCAAAGAAAAAATTCAGATGGCCAACAGGCACATGAAAAAATGCTCCACATTGCTAAGTATCAGGTAAATGCAAATTAAAACTACAATGAGATATCACCTCACACCAGTTAGGATGGCCAACATAGAAAAGACTTGGAACAACAAATGCTGGCAAGGATGCGAAGAAAGGGGAACCCTCTTACACTGCTGGTGGGAATGTTAAGTAGTTCAACCATTGTGGAAAGTAGTATGGAGGCTCCTCAAAAAACTAAAAATATCTACCATTTGACCCAGGAATTCCACTCCTACGAATTTACCCTAAGATGCAGGATCCCAATTTCAAAAAGACATGTTTATCGCAGCACTATTTATAATAGCCAAGAAATGGAAGCAACCTAACTGTCCATCAGTAGATGAATGGATAAAGATGTGGCACATATACACAACGGAATATTATTCAGCCATAAAAAGAAAACCAACACTTCCATTTGCAACAACATGAATGGAGCTAGAGGGTATTATGCTCAGTGAAATAAGCCAGGTGGAGAAAGACAAGTACCAAATGATTTCACTCATCTGTGGAGCATAAGAAGAAAGCAAAAACTGAAGGAGCAAAACAGCAACAGACTCACAGAACCCAAGAATGGACTAATAGTTACCAAAGGGAAAGGGACTGGGGAGGGTAGGTAGGTGGGGAGGGAGGGAAAAGGAGAATAATGATTAGCACACATAACATGGGGGCAGGGGGCACGGGGAAGTAAGTATAGCACAGAGAAGACAAGTAGTGACTCTATAGCATCTTACTACACTGATGGACAGTGACTGTAATGGGGTATGTGGTGGAGACTTGAAAATGGGGGGAAATCTAGTAACCACAATGTTGCTCATGTGATTGTATATTAATGATACCAAAAAAAAAAAAAAAACTACCTAAGAACAAGAACCCTGAACCAGATGGCTTCACCGCTGAATTTTATCAAACATTTACTGAATACCTAATACCCACCCTCCTTAAAGTTTTCCAAAAAGTAGAAGAGGAAGGAATATTTCCAAACTCCTTCTATGAGGCCAGCATCACTCTAATACCAAAACCAGGCAAAGACACCACAAAAAAAAGAAAATTACGAACCAATATGCCTGATGAACATAGATGCAAAAATACTCAACAAAATATAAGCAAACGTAATTCAAAAATACATCAAAAAGACATCCATTGTGATCAAGTAGGATTTATTCCAGGGATGCAAGGATGGTACAATATTAGAAAATCCATCGATTATTATCCACCACATCAACAAAAAGAAGGACAAAAAAACCACACGACCATAGATGCCAAAAAAGCATTCGAGAAAATTCAACATCCATTCATGATAAAGACTTTCAACAAAATGGGTATAGAGGGCAAGTGTACCTCAACATAATAAAGCCGTACATGACAAACCCACAGCCAACATCATACTTAACAGCAAGAAGCTGAAAGCTTTTCTTTTTAAGATTGGGAACAAGACAAGGATGCCTGCTCTCTCCACTTTTATTCAACATAGTTTTGGAAGTCCTAGCCACGGCAATCAGACAACACAAAGAAATAAAAGGCATCCAGATTGGCAAGGAAGAAGTTAAACTGTCCCTGTTTACAGAGGACATATTGTACATAAAAAACCGTACAGAATCCACTCCAAAATTACTAGATCTAATATCTGAATTCAGCAAAGTTTCAGGATACAAAATTAATACACAGGAATCTGTTGCATTCCTATAGACTAATGATGAACTAGCAAAAGGAGTAATCAGGAAAACAATTCCATTCACAATTGCACCAAAAAGAATAAAATACCTAGGAAAAAACCTAACAAAGGAAGTAAAAGACCTATACTCTGAAAACTACAAGACACTCATAAGAGAAATTAAAGAAAATACAAATAAATGGAAACACATCCTGTGTTCATGGATAGGAAGAATTAATATTGTCAAAATGGCCATCCTGCCTAAAGCAACCTAGATTCAGTGCAATCCCTATCAAAATACCAACAGCATTCTTCAATGAACTAGAGCAAATAGTTCTAAAATTTATATGGAGCCACAAAAGGCCCCAAATAGCTAAAGCAATCCTGAGAAGAAAGAATGAAGCTGGGGGGATTATGCTCCAGACTTCAAGGTCTACTACAAAGCCACAGTAATCAAGACAATTTGGTACTGGCACAAGAACAGACCCATAGACCAATGGAACAGACTAGAGAGTCCAGATATAAACCCAAGCATATATGGTCAATTAATATATGATAAAGAAGCCATGGACATTTGATGGGGAAATGACAGCCTCTTCAACAACTGGTGTTGCAAAACTGAACAGCTACATGCAAGAGAATGAAACTGGATCATTGTCTAACCCCATACACAAGAGTAAACTTGAAATGGATTAAAGATCTGCATGTAAGTCATGAAACTGTAAAAGTCTTAGAAGACATCATAGGCAAAAATCTCCTGAATATAAACTTGCAACTTTTTTCTGAATGCATGTCTTCAGGCAAGGGAAACAAAAGCAAAAATGAATACATGGGACTACATCAAGCTAAAAAGCTTCTGCATGGCAAAGGACACCATCAGCAGAACAGAAAGTCATCCTACAGTATGGGAGAATATATTTGTAAATGACATATCTGACAAGGGGTTAATATCCAAAATATATAAAGAACTCACACGCCTCAAGAACCAAAAAACAAAAAACCTGATTAAAAAATGGGCGGAGGGTATGAACAGACAGTTCTCCAAAGAAGAAATTCAGATGGCCAACAGACATATGGAAAGATACTCCACATCGCTAATTATCAAGAAAACGCAAATTAAAACCACAATGAGATAACACCTCATTCCAGTTAGGATGGCCAGCATAGAAAAAACTAAGAACAACAAATGCTGGTGAGGATGCAGAGAAAGGCGAACCCTCCTACACTGCTGGTGCGAATGTAAACTAGTTCAACCATTTTGGAAAGCAATATGGAGGTTCCTCAAAAAACGAAAAATAGAAATACCATTTGACCTGGGAATTCCACTCCTAGGAATTTAACCAAAGAATACAAGTTCTCAGATTCAAAAAGACATAATGTACCTGTATGTTTATTGCAGCACTATTTATAAAAGCCAGGATATGGAAGAGACCTAAGTTTCCATCAACAGATGAATGCATAAAGAAGATGTGGTTCAAATATACAATGGAATATTATTCAGCTATAACAAGAAAACAAATCCTACCATTTGCAACAACATGGATGGAGCTAGAGGGTATTATGCACAGTGAAATAAACCATGTGGAAAAAGACAAGTACCAAATGATCTCCCTCATTTGGGAGGTATAACAACAAAGCAAAACTGAAGGAACAAAACAGCAGCAGACTCACAGACTCCAAGAAGGGACTACTGGTTACCAAAGGGGAGGAGTGGGAGAGGAAGGATGGGTGGGGAGGAGGGAGAAGGGGGTTGAGGGGTATTATGATTGGCACACATGATTTGGGAGGGGGTCCCAGAGAAGACAGTGCAGCACAGAGAAGACAAGTAGTGACTCTGTGGCATCTTACTATGCTGATGGACAGTGACTGCAATGGGGTGTGGGGGGGACTTGATAATATGGGTGAATGTAGTAAGCACAATATTGCTCATGTGAAACCTTCCTAAGAGTGTGTATCAATGAAACCTTATTAAAAAATTAAATTTAAATATTTTTTCAAAAGAAAAAAAATAAAACATCATGAAGAGGATAAGTACAACACAGGGAATATAGTCCATAAAACTATGACACTGTATCATGACTGACAGTAACTAGACTTACCATGGTGAGCATTTCATAACCTATGCAAATTGTCAAACTGTATCTTACACCTGAAACCAACATAATATTTTATAACAGCTCTGATTAAAACAAAAAATGGTACTAGATATAGTGGATATTCATATGAAAAAAAACAAAGGAAGTATCACCTCTATTTCATACCATATACAAAAATCAATTCCAGAGGCAAAGTAATTCTGAAAGTAAAAATTTATCAATAAAGTTTTTGGAAAATAACACAGAAAATCTTCATGATCTTAACTTGGGCAAAGCTTTATTAAAAAGGAACAAGAACAGTACACATGAAGTTAGATTTCTAAATCAAACTTTTGTTTTCATCACAGACACCATTAGAAAGTAAAAAGGCAAGCCACAGTCTAAAAGATTCACAATACATATACCAAAGAGCTCACATGCAAAACATGTGTTCTACAATGAGATAGATAACGCAATGTTTGCAAAAGGCTTGAAAAGCACACCTCACAACAAAAGATTGAGTGATACAGATACTTCACATCACTAATTATTAGGCAAATACAAATTAATCCACAATGAGATACTATTATATGTCTATCAGAATGACAAACTTTTTACTGATGACATCAAGTATTGGTGAAAATGCAAAACTATGGAAATCTTATACATTATTGCTAGAAATGTAAAACTGGTACAATGACTTTCAAAAACTGTTTGGTAGTACTTACTAAAGAAAACTGAAAAGACGTAAGGTCAGAGTTTACTGTGAGGTTGCAAATCTGGGTAAGACACAGATGGTGTTAATGACAAAAGCACCAGTGACTCAGGTCAGGCTGAGACTGAGTTAACATGAGGACAGGTTAAGAGATTATTATGAAGAAGTTGCCTGGCCTGTCAGTAAATGCCTGACAATCGTTAGTTGATATTGGCATCACCTGACTCTACAGGTGTGCTCATTTGGGAGCTCAAGGGCTGAAAATGATACACAGGTAAAAGACATTACACAACTTAGCTAATTTCCCGAACATGTGCACCCTTTACACCCCAAGAAAACCTGCCAACATCACCCTTCTACTCACCCTGGCTCGCCGTTGTTGCATTTCAGCTCTCAGCTGATCTCGCAGACATGTCAGTTTATGAATCTTGCTTTCCAGGGCACTTTCTTCCGCCTGTGCTCTCTGCAGTCCTTCCAGTCTTTTATGGGATTTGTTCAGTTGAGTCTCTAGTCTTTCCAAGTGAGCTAAAACACCTGAGAAGAGTGAAAAAGGAACTTCACAAGCATCCAAGGATTTCTAACTCTGGCAAACAGCAGCATTTCAGGGAAGATATGATCCTTTATCAGAACATTGTGGCCTGCTAAATTGTTAGATGTTGGCCACAGTTTTTAAACCAGAGGAGGTGACAACAGAAACCAATGATTAGAAATCTTTTAGGCTGAACACTGACATACAAGCAGTCCCTGGACAACCAGGACACTGTTCAAAGAGAGCATTATTAACAGCTAATCTCAGTTATCCATAATAATGGCCCAGAGGAAAGTAAGCTCACAAATCTACAGACTTCAAAATTGTTAAGACAATTGTTTTTGAAACAGAGAAAGGTAAAATAAGGTGCCCAAAGCCACAATATGACAGAGCCAGGACTCAAACCCAGGTTTAACAAACAAGGAAGTCACTGTCTGGCACTACCCTTCCACAAGAATAATGTATAAACGGCCCAAAAATACCTGCCAAGAGAGGAAAAATACCTCATTGGCTAGAACTGAAGCTTGAATATAAATACTTGAGCATATTATGAATGCAACCCATTGGTTTAAAGAGGCAGGAGCCTATAAATGTCTGAGGCAATTTTCCTTTCCAATGACCTTAGCTTCCTGTCCCTTTAAGTCTTCAAAATGAGTTGCTTTCGCCCCTCTGCTCCCAAACAGGACAGGCCACACATTAGTTAGAAGAGAAAAGGGCTCTTTCAACCTGAGGGTCATCACTGGGCAGCAACAGGAAAGGGAAAAAGGCGGCCCTTTGAGTACCTCCTTTGAACTCGCCATCTGGACGGAAAGTATTCTCGCGCTCCATCTCAGATTTCCAGGGCTTAAGAAGTTGTCCAGGAACGATTAACAGGCACCTAAATGTTCTTGCTGGTGAAAGAAAGCCGGCAAGAAAGTCACATCTGTTTACACTCAGTCAAACCCAAAAGGCAGAGCACACACAGCTGAAGCAGGCACCCGCCGGCCCCCAGAACCCCGAGCGTCATCGCCTAGATTCGCTTCGCGGAGCCGACCCACCCGTTCCCGGGCCCGAGCGGGCCGTGTCCACGGCCATCAGCCCCTGCGGGCGCCCAAGAACATGGTCGCTCTGGTTCAGCCGGCTTCCTAGCACACTGAAGGACCTTCAATCGGCCGTCCAGCCTCCCTCCCTGGTCACGGTCTCGTCCGTCACTTAGTGTCACGAACCTCCTCTCGCTCACCCAGAACCACGGCAGGAGTTCCCGCGTCCTCACCTTCAAAATCAGTCAAACCCAGCGTGCTTTGCGCGCTCACCGTATAAAAACATGGCCGGGCTGAGGGCCCCCTCCCCGAACCCGGCATGCATTGGGGAGTAGGCCCGGCCCTTCACTTGGGCAGGAAGATGGCGGCCTCTGGCGCAGGGCCGCAGATCCTGGTACAATACTTGGTGTTACGAAAGGATCTATCCCAGGCTCCGTTCTCCTGGCCAGCGGGCGCAGTGGTGGCGCAGGCTTGTCATGCGGCCACAGCGGCCTTGCACCTTCACGGCGACCACCCGCACACTGCGGCTTACCTCCGGGAGCTGGGGCGCATGCGCAAGGTGGTCCTGGAGGTGAGGTGTCGGGCGGGGCAGTGGGGCGCAGAGCACATCAGACCGGAAGTGGGTGTGGCCTTGAGTCTGGGGCCTAACTTCGTGGAGTGGTTAGGGCGTTGTGGGGAGTCTTTTACCTCTAAATTTCGGACGCGGGTCTGGAGTTCGAGCCATTGACGAGAGACCCTTACCTGGGCTGGCCAGCGTCGGACTGTGAAAAGTGGGCATCGGGTCTGTTATCAATGCTTTCCGCATCCCCCACCCCCCGGTCTCAGCTGCTTACCTGTAGTGAGGGCGGAGGCTGGCCGAGCGAGACACCGCCTTACCAGTGCGCTGGGCCCACCTTTGCAGGACCCCCTCTGCTTCGCCTAACCCCATGCAGAAGGGCTAAGGACGCGGGGTTCCTTATTTGCAAGTGAAGTCAAACCGAAGCATTTACCTGGGTATGACGCCAAAGCATTTGAAAATACATGTGAACCCTAGTATAAGCTGAACCTAGCATCGAAAATACTAGACATCCGGGTGAAAAATAGCAGTAGGGCTCTTTTTGAAGGTGGCTAAATAGATCTTACCCTTTGTCAGTTCTGCAGCTAGAGACTTATCCTGCGAAGATAATTTGATGTACTCAAAGACTATTTTCTCTTTGTACGTTGTACGATATTTATAGGAGCACTTTATAATATAACATTTTGGAAATTACTATATTTCCAATACTAGAAATTGGCAGAATTAATTTCTGCCCTTATAATGGATTATTATAGAGGTAGCAAAAATCATGTTTTTGGAACCTGTTTAGTTGGCATGGAACGATGTTCACGAAGTGATACTAACCAAATGTAGAATATAAAAATTGATGCAGATTTTGAAAATACGTCCAAATATTAAGTAGTGAGTGGTAGGACTTCGGTTATGTCCTAATGCTTCTCTATTCCTTGAAGTTTTCTCCATCAGGCACATATAATAAGGGGGAAAAAAGTTTTAAAGCAATTTTTCTCATAAAGTTTTTATTTTAATAAATTAAAGAACTAGAACCCTGGGTCTACCCAGGGGTGGGGAGGCCCTTCATGGCTAGCTGGCAAAAACACTATCTTTCAAGAGAAAAATTGCTGGTTGGTTGTGAAACACAGTAACCTGCAAGAAAATGTCTTGAGAATATATGACTAGGCAGGAAAAGAAGCAGATAGATTTTCATGTAGGTTTTTTTCCCAATAGGAAGAAGGCCTCAAGAAGTCATCTGACTCGGGTATCCCCCACTCCCTTGCTTTTAGGTAGATAAGACATTTACCCCTTTTCTCAGATGAGACATCTGAAGCCCACGGAGATGAACTGACCTACCTGAGTTTAAAAGACATCTGACAATTCCTAGTTGTTAGCCCTCACTCAAGGAATCACTTCCAATTAAATTAAGGTGCTGCTGTAGCCATAAAGACCAATAAAATATAAGACGATGCCAATATTAACTACAGTTATTGGGCGTTTGCTATGTGCCAGGCACAGGTCTGAGGCTAATTTCATTGAGTCCTCTCTACTACTGTGAAGCCTTATCATCCCTGTTTTACAAAGGGGAAACAAAGGCTTAGCTAAGTCACAACGTACCAAAGATCACACAGTCAGTAAGTGTCAGAGCAAGGCTTTGGACTCACTGTAATTCATTGTACTATGCTGTTGCCTGGTGCTCAGGAAGGATGTAGGGGAAGTCGTGAGTTCTCCAGCGTGGCTCTGCCCCAAAGGACTCAGTAGATGAAGAGTGGCAATCCCCAAATCCAATAATTTGGTAAGACAAACCTCTAGTTATCTTAGTGGCCTGTGCCTTCATAGGCAAAAAATATACCTTATGCAAAATAACACGCTAAATTACTTTTAAGTGATAGCTGTAATACTTCCTGTAATGAGATTCAGCATGATCAAGGTGCTAGGGATGATGAGAAACAATTTCAGATGTTAAGACAGTAGTTTGCCCTCTGAGTTAACAAGTGGGAACTATTCCAGTAGAAGGAAAACTCTTCTAGGTTTCGGTGGGGTAGGATGGAGGTGGGAGGGAGATGGATGCGATTGATTTTAGAAATCCTTCCAATAGCTCTCAAAGTCAGAGCTGGTAAAGGATTAGGGATAGCTGTATGGGCACCATACAGCTATATATAATATAATGGGCACATATAATAAGGCACATATAACAACCATGATAGAAGCGTAAAACATGTAGAGCACACAGCATCTCAAGATGGAGGAGAAAAATCTTTATTTTATAAGAAGCCATTTTTAAGCCCATCCCCCTCCCGCCTCAGGTAGCTTATTTAAGGCCCCACAGAGAGGGTAGGAGGAACACAAGCAGTGAAGCTGTTGCCTCTGGAGACATGCTCTCCAGCTCCTCCTCTGGTGGAGCTGTTCCACCACTTTCAGTTAGGAGGAGCAACAGCCCCAAACTTTTTTTTTTGTCTTTTTGACGCTGCTTAAATGGCCTATTCACTCTGTGTGTTCTGCCCTGCTCCTTGTAGGCTGCAGATGAGACCACCCTGAAGGAGCTAGCTGAGACTCTGCAACAGAATAACATCGACCACATGCTGTGGCTGGAGCAGCCAGAGAATATTGCCACTTGCATTGCACTCCGTCCCTACCCCAAGGAAGAAGTGAACCAGTATTTGAAGAGATTCCGATTGTTCAAATAATTGAGGTTATCAGTTGCTGTGATACATTTTAGTATCATCCGGATCCAGACACTGCATGCCATGTACTCTTAAGCATCCATGGTAACTCACTCTTCCCTTTAAGTTATGACAGTTTCTTGAGGGTCAAACACATGTTCACATTAAAGTTGTCATTAATAAGTACTTCCTTATTTTTAATTATTAATTAGTTCAGATGGGGAAAGTAGGTGTGCAACAATATCATCTGTGGGTTACTGCTCAAATAGGAGATTTGCTTAGACTCCTATACATGGGTTGAGGAAATGTTCTTCCTTCTTTGTTAGGAATAACAAGAGTTTTTCCAGTCACTCAAGTTTAAAACTTTGCCTTTGAATTCTTTATTTCTTATTCATATCCAGATACCATATTCACTGAATCTAGGACAACATCAATGTGAAGATAACACCATTATTTTAAATGTTGCTAAGGAAGAGGAGATGCCAGTTAAATTAAGACATGCAATTAACTGTCAGCTGTATTTCAATTTCAAAGATGTTAAAATATGTGTGTATGTATATATACATATACCACTGTTCATCAGGCTCTCATTTTACTTACTGGAGTGTCCCACTGGTCTGTTCACCTCTAGTGTGTCCAGGTTACAGTCCAGCAAATGTTCTGCCACCTGGTTTATCTGGGATTATTTAGCACCCTGTTCAGTGTAGGTTCCTACTGGCCCATGGAATAAAGTCAGAATGCTTAGGTTAACCTTCAGGCCTTCCACAGTTACATTTCCTACCTTTCTTTTTAGGTGAAGCTTCTATTCCCTTATCCAAATTTGATGTTTCAACAAGACACTCCTGTTCCTGCCCGCCAGTCTCTGGCCTGGGGGTCCAGTGTTAGAACCTTTCTCCTCCCTTTCCTGCCTCTGAACTTTATTTCCAGCCCAAGTGCTATCACCTTCACAAAGTCAAAAATAATGGTTCTCACCTCCTTCACTGTTAGTGGGAATGTAAACTGGTGCAACTATTGTGGAAAACAATATGGAGGTTCCTCAAAAAAGTAAAAATAGAAGTACCATTTGACCCAGTAATTCCACTCCTAGGATTTACCTGAAGAAAGCAAAATCCCTGATTTGAAAAGACATATGCACCTGTTTATCACTGCACAATTTACAATAGCCAAGATATGGAAGCAACCTGAATGTCCATTATAAGATGAATGGATAAAGAAGATGTGATATATATACACAATGGCATATTATTCAGGCATAAAAAGAAAAGAAATCCTCCTATTTGCAACAACATGGATGGATCTAGAGGGTATTACTCCCAGTGAAAAAAGCCAGGCAGAGAAAGACAAATACCAAATGATTTCACTTATTTGTGCAGTATAAAAATAAAGCAAAACAGAAGGAACAAAACAGCAGTAGAGTCATAGACACTGAGAAGGGACTAGAGGTTTCCGAAGGGGAGAGGTTGGGGAGGGCAGTGGGGAGAAGGGGATTAAGGGGCACAGTAATTCACAATCACAATATACTTTGGTCATGGAGACGGTACTACAGGATGGAGAATACAATTAATGATTCTGTAACATCTTACTACATTGATGGACAGTGCCACACTGGAGTGGGTGAGGGCTTGATAATATGGGTGAATGTTGAACCACTGTGTTGTGTATTTGAAGCCGTCATAAGATTGTGTATCAATAATACTTTAATAAAATGATGGTTTTCTTCTCTGAATGTCTATAACAGTACTATGTTTTAAATCTATAAACACTTGGAGACATCTACAGAAAGTGCTTGGACATCTGTGAAGTGTAGCTTATAAAGGGTAATGTGTTCGGCAGGTATCTGTTGCATGTCTACTGTGTCAGGCTGTACTAGGAGTTGAAAATATAAAGGTGGATACAACAGTTTTTACTCTCAGGTAGCTAAGAATCTAAAGAGAAGACAGATAAACAATACAGAGAGAAATGTACAAGGTAATATGGGTATATTCCCTGCCCCCTGCCAGATACCAAGGCTATCAAGACATTAGATGCAAAGATTTTCCTTTATAAGAGATGGTCATTTGCAACTAGGGGAGTGCATAGGTTCTCTCAGGAAGAATTGGTGGGCTGCTGAGGGCAGGACCAACCTCAGGGAGCCAAGTGAATAGAGTTTCAAGGGGGAGGGCAATGAAGTACAGCACAGAATTTCAGTATTTAAAAACTGAAAACATTTAGCAGTTGGTAATGTATTGGTGAACTTGCTGGAAGCAGCTTAAGTAGCATAGGAGGGTGAGAATCAGACTGGAATCGAGACAAGAATGGGAGGGGAGGTAAGAAGTAGGGACTATTCTTTCTAGAAGCTTGAATGGAAGAAGGTAATGATTGAATGGGGGCTGGAAAGGTGAATGCTGGGTCCCATAGGGGGAATTTTCTTAGATGCTTGAGCAAGTTTATGGGTGAAGAGAGGGAGGGTAATGAGAAGAGAGAACAAAATTTTTAAAAATTGAATAACTGGTAAAAGAAGTTCAGAAAAAAAATCAGAAGAGATGAGGTCAAGCGCATAGGAAAGGACTGGCCTTGAACAGGAAGAGAAAATTTTCATGACTGGGGGAAAGGGTGTGAGAAAAGGTATGGACATAATGTAAGCAAAGAAAGTTGATGTTGACCATAGCTGCTGAAGGAATGTACTAAGCACTGTATTATACAGCATAACACAGTGGTTAAGAGCCCAGACGCTGATGCCAAATGGTCTTGAGTCCACATCCTGAATCTCATACATTCAAGCCATGTGAACTGGAACAAGTCACTCATCTTCCCTGAGACCCAGTTCCTTCATCTGTAAAATAGGAATTTGCAGGAATGCTATGTGGATTGAATGTGTTAGTATGTACAAATGCCTTAGAACAGTGCCTAGGCACTTGGTGCTATAAAAAAAGATACTATAGGACACAGCCTTCAAAGAGCTTTCAGTCACCAAGCTAGTCCTCAAATTCTCATTTTCCTAAGGAGTGAGGCCAAGAATCATTATTCCCTGTTATTTCAAGACAATATGGAAAATGTTTCCAAGTGACACTGCCTCTTCTAAAACATTTTTTTCAAGTTCTGAATTCTGCTGGGAGACACTGTGATAAAACCAGAGAGCAATGAGTCTACATAGCTGAGAGGGAACAACTCAGGCAGACCCCCAAAACTGAGATCTGAGCACAGATAGCAGAAACTACTCCAGAGGGAAAAGTTCAGGTAGTCATGTGCTGATCCTGAGTGAGAGCACACAATAGCAGGGAGCTTCTCATCAGCTAAGACCATTGTCATTTGGACTAGATCAGCGGTTTTCAAAGTGTGGTTCCAAATCAGCATCACTTGGGTACTTGCTGGATATGCAAATTCCAGGCCCTTCCCCACACCTACTGAATTAGAAATTGGTGCTGTCTAGAAGCAGCCCCGCCCCAGGAAGCAGCCAACCTAAAAGGGAAACCATAGGTGTGGTGATCTAGAATAAACACATTATGATAGAATATGATGGGCTCATAAGAAGGAGAGCAAGATTCCAGCATCAAGTAAACTATCTGGCCTTGCATAGCAAGTTTACAAAAATGCGCTCTCCTCTACCATAAAGCAAAGATGGTGCTGCAAACCCTGGAATGGGTGACACATCTGTGCATGTAACCTATGCTTTGGTAAGTTTCTTATATGTGAAAAACATTTTACAATGAACACAGTGCTTCCATATGTGCTAATCAATCATGAGAATTTTGTGATGCAGGCAGATTCTCAAGTTTACAAATTCAGAAAAAGCTTTGACTTGCCAAAGATCAAAGTCAGGGACAGGACTGGCATTGAAAACCAGGTATTTTGTCAGCCCAGTTTTGTCCTAATCTCCTGTAGCAGGTTCCAAATTTGGTTTTCAGCCATCGTTACAAGAGAGTGGTTTGAAAAGGGTTCATGAGTAGTTCAAGCGCTGGGAAACTGTATCTTCCATTTTAAATTAGTTAATTGACATTCTAGTTATAAATCAGCAGCCTCCTGTGACTGTGAGTCGTGTGAGCCAGAACCCCAGGGCTCAATTATCACTGGCAGAGTTGCCAAAATTGAGTTTCTGAACTTGTAGCTGAGGATCAGCACCTAGGTCATTGGTTCTCATGGCGCTGGCAGAATGCAGAGGGCTCCCCTAGAAGGATTTAAAATCATGTTTCATTGCTAATCTACATACAGTTTCCCCACGGTTTGAGATGCCATCCTTGGAGTGTGACTGCACCCTCGTTGAGAATTTGGCACTAGTGAACCACTGTTACTGATGGGAAGGTGTTAGTGTGGAAAAATGGCTGAGAACCACTGTCCTTGGCTACGATTGCGTCACAAGTGTTAGCTGTCTGCTGACATTAAGTTTAGCACGGCCCCAGCTTCCCTTTCTCTACTTTAAGACCCAGGTATGGCAGATTTTGAACGCTGGCCTAAGGCTGTGTTTTCAGCTATGGGGGTCTTGCAAGAGCCAAATAAGTCACACCCAAATTCTGGACCCAGGTTCTTAAGAAATACGATAAAAAGCAGCTGGAGAAACAAAAATATCACTTTTATTATCAAAGGGTTAGAAGATCAAAGTGATGCCTAAATGGGCCTAATTTCCTGTTCTAGGGAAAGTGTGAATATACAGAGCAGATGCCCAAGTTTCTCCTTCGTACTGGTTATGTGGAGAAGTAGAGATAAAACAAATCCCCCACATTCAGTCTATTAAACTTTTCTCAGTTAGTTCCACCCACTTGAGAACCATGGACTGGAAGGCAACCGCCCACCAATGAGGTCATTCATTCAACCTGCAGGAGGAAGAGTAAGGGGGGAGCAACAGACTAGGAGCATTATGTTCACTCAGTAAAGGAAGAAGTGGGGATAAAGCTTTCCACCCCTCCCCAGCATCAGAGGATGGAAGGGCTCCTGAAGTACTGATGATCCCAGAGAAAGACTGATGTGGCCACAGGTACAAAAAGTATTTGCTGGGAATAGGGAGGAAGGCTGAGGCATCAGTAAGGAGACAGTTTGAAATAATCAAGGCACAGGACTGCGATGATGTGACTGCAAAATGAAAATCGAGCCATGGGAAATATTTTACTCCCTTATGGTACAAATGGAAAGAGCCAGGCTGGTGACAATCCCAGAGGTGTTGAGATTAAGATTAGAGAGATTGACATAAGGTTGTGTATCAATGATTTATTATT